TTGATAGGCCAAGAATGGGTCTCCTCAGTCTACTGCAGGACGTGTTAATGTCCAAAAAAAAAGACTTACCCCGCAGATATTCTTTAGTGTAAACTGGTGGTTTATTTACCGATAATCTAACAGTCCAGCAGTGTAGCTATTTACAAGTGCTCAGTCCAAACCAATATATCTACAAATATAAATGCCATAGGGGGGAAAAAAAGTACCAAAATAAACCAAACAATGATATAATAAATATATACAGACTTTCCACTTGCATCTACTGATATAGAAAGGGGTTTTAGCTCATGGCACCACAGTGGCACGCCTGCTCGACTTGGTTAACAAGCCACGTTTGAAATCTGGCGCCAAGTTTTAAAGACCAGACTCCACCCCTTTTCCAGGCACGACCATTAAACGGTAAGTTATACCAGTTATTATCTAATCATTCACTTTAAGATTTATACAATAACTTCACTCGGTAATGTATTAAAACAGATAACCACGTATTTGCAACTGTAATATAAAACAACCATATATTAGTTGTCACCAATCTGTTTCTCTTTTCAGATTGAAACATTCGGGTACCCCACAACACAAACAAACATGGTTTCACCGGGTCCTTAGACTGTCGCGCTGGCGCGATGCCAGCCAATGACGTCAAAAGTGATCGCCCTCCGCAACCTCTAGTTCACCAGCACAGCGTCAAGTAACCCGGCTATGGCAACATGTAAAACAGACGATTAAACAATAAAACATAAAACCGTATACAAAGTTTATGTGTGATTTATACGGATGGCATGACTGCATAATGACTGAGGGAGAGGATGGAGTGTGGATGACTGACCAAGTGCTACCAAGCTATGCGTGTACTGGGACAGGATGGGTGAGTAATGATAGCATATGTGTGTGTGTGTACATATATGAGTGCCAGTGCTGCCGCTTGCAGCGGTGAAGAAAGTCACTTCTTCCCATCACTGCCACGCACTGTCTGGGAACCTGGACAGGTAGTCGGCCACAAGGTTCTTTCTCCCGGGGCAATGACGGATTTGAAATCTGTATGGCTGGAGAGCCAAATACCATCGAGTCACTTGAGCGTTGTGGTCTTTCATGGACTGTATCCAGGTTAGTGCCCGATGGTCAGTCTCTAGGTCAAACTCCCGCCCCAGGAGGTAATATCGTAGAGCTTCTAGGGCCCACCTTATTGCGAGGCACTCCTTTTCGATCGTTGAGTATCTGGTCTCCCTGGGCAATAGCTTCCTGCTCAAAAACACCACAGGCTTCTTTGCCCCCAGAGTCCCTTGGGCCAGAACCACCAGTTGAAATCCGGGCTCTGCGGCACTGGTGCTGAACACATTTTCCCTCTCAGGGAGTTGAATGCTTTTTCACAGGCTTCTGTCCATTTCACTGGGTTCTTTCCTGCTTTTTGTAGTAAGTCCGTCAGTGGTGCTACGATTGAGGCAAAGTCAGGGATGAACCGGCGGTACCAGCCCACAGGACCCAGGAAGGAACGGACTTCCTTCTTCATTCTAGGTCGCGGACTGTCCCGGATTGCTTGTACCTTGCATGCCTGTGGCCGTAGTTCACCATTGCCAAAATGGTACCCCAGGTAGTTTGTTTCTCGCTTTGCCCACTCGCACTTAGCCACGTTCAAGGACAGGCCCGCTGCATGGATTCTCTCCAGGGTCTGTCGTAGATAGCTTAGGTGCTCCTCCCAGTTATGGCTGTAGATGACTACGTCATCCAGGTAGGCTGCCGCCCACTCTTCACAGCCCCGGAGTAGAACGGTGAATTGGTATAGTCCAACTGGTGTTCTGAAGGCAGTGAGAGGCTTGGAGTTCGGATCAAGGGGCACCTGCATGACTACGTCATCCAGGTCGGCTGCCGCCCACTCTCCACAGCACCGACCAGGTCACTAACACAGCCTAGAGTGCCCATACATCGATCAGAGACACCGGTGCCTGTCTTGCAGCCAGGGGACAACATCGAGAGCTATCTGAGGAGGTTTGAGCGATTGGCCCGAACATGGCAGTGGCCAAGGAGAGAGTGGAGCTGTCGACTCGTACCTTTTCGAAAAATCCCAGGATGTCTTTCGAAAAGAGTAGATGTGTGACCTCGGCATCCTGGCCAAATTTGCCCATAGGCCTCTGATCATCATGGCCTCCTAATCATCCCCATGCATGTAATAATAATAATATAGTGTGATATCTAGGTGTAAGAGTCTCTATGTGCTGAGAATTAGCTGACTTCTGTGATGTGAGGTGGCTAGCATACGGTCGGTTTAGCCAGTCTGTCTGCTTCCTGACCTGGGCCCCAGTTAATCAAGTACGAACTCTAAGACTAAGTGCCATATTTCTAGAGAGAAGAGCGGCACCACCCCTGGAGGGATGAAAATCATCTCTTTGCAACAGGTCAGGTCTGCCCCAAAACCTTGTCTAATTGTCTATGAAACCTATGTTATTCTGCGGGCACCACTTCGACATCCAGCCATTGAGTGATGACAGTCTGCTATGTATATCATCACCCCGGTAAGCAGGGAGGGGACCAGAGCATTTTACAGTGTCTGACATCATTCTTGCAAGTTCACACACCGAGGTTTTTCAGTGGGTGAGACACTGAGTGGGGAGAACCTGTTTGATGTTTTGGACGGAACGGAAGAGGGGGGTTTTGACCTGCGACTATGCCGCCTCACAGTCACCCTGCTGCATGGGATCTAGAACTGGAACCGAACAATGTACATGATTCGCTGAACTAGTTGCATGCAAAGCCGTATCTAAGGCCCTCACATTATTATTGTCCTCAATTAAAACTTGGATGCGTGTCTCTAATTCTAAAACCTTCTCTGTCAGCCTAACTATTTCCCTGCATTTATCACATGTCGACAGAGAGAGATAAACTGTACATGTGGCATGTGGTGCAGGTGACAACCCTGCAAACATGTCCCTGCGAGGCCCATGCTGGCTTTTTGCGGGCACAGTGGGCTAGGGCCAACCCACACCAAACCTTAACAGGCCCAGTGCGGGCTTACCCAGGTGAGGCCCACAGCTTTGGGCTCACTGCAGGCTCTCTGTGAGCAGGCCACACAAGCGGACTGTCCACATTAATCCTATGATGGCCCAGTGTGGGCCAGCCCGTTCGGGCCCAGAGCAACTTTTGTATCCTTTGGGCCCATGCAGGTTTTGTGTAGGCAGCCCTGTAATGCAACTAGGTGAAGTGGAATGGCACAAACCAAGAGACCTTTTCAGAATCTGTTGTTGGCTGCGTTCGAAACCGCATACTCAATGAGTAGGTACTTAATTTCAATATGTACTTACTTAACGAGCGCTAAAAGAGTACGTACTCAACAGCCAAATCTAGTTAAGTATGAACGCAATCCGCCATGTTGACGTAATCTTCTTCTTCTTTTAATTTTTTTGGCGGTTTACAATATAACATGTGACCTCCAACGTTATAAGTTCAATAATTACTTGAGGTGACAGGTGTGCACTACCACCTGATCACAACAGTAAATTGCTTACCCTGCCTAGTGCGGTTTTCCTTAGCGTTTGGAATGGTATTACAGAGGATATGTTGGGCAGCTGCTCGCAGATCTCGCCTTAGGAGAACACTGTTGATGTTATACTTCAAAAATGTAAGTGTCACCACTTATAAATTAAGATTACACCAGAATGAATTGCATTGCTAGCTCACCCCAACACTTTCGCACAATGATAATAACAGATGCAGACCCATGCTTAATTGTACTACATATGACTGAAAATTGTATAATTTCATTAAAAAAAGCCTAATTAATTGTTTTCATGTGACATGCATGAAAACACATAAGACAAATGGAGGTGATGTGAACATCAATTTTCAGTCAAGCAATGAATTAATGCATGAAGTAATGAAACAATTGCTTTATTTACTGACATTAAGTCACTCATTTTTATTGTTTCCTAATTAACCATCACATTAACTGTATACATATACAAGTCAACAACACATGAAACAAATCTTTATTTGACTTTAATGTTCTAATAAACTCGCACATATTTACAGGCAGTGAACCCCGCATCCTACTGCCATGTCAACACAGCTGTGCCGATTCTGCGGTTTTATTTGGACCAAGCAGCTGACCACCGTGGCCATCTTCGCCTGTCTTTGCCATCCATCAGGTCCCTCATTGCAGCAGTCAGATTGGAATCTGACCATGGGTGGGAAAAGGACATTGAAGTCCTCGTATTCCTCCACTGGCTTGCACATACAGCATGCTACAGGGTCGTGTCACAGACCTTTGATATGCCCATATCCTCTGTGCATGGGATTGTGCACAAAGTGAGCAAGGCAGTCATAGGAATTTTGAGGAGGGTGATTTCTTTTCCAACCGGGGATGACATGGAGGCAGTGGGAGCAGGATTTGCACAGCTAGCTGGGTCACCAGCTTTCAGTCGAGCAGTCGGTGCAATAGACGGCTGTCATATCCGAATGAAACCTCCAGCAAATAACTCCCAATGCTACTACAACATTGAGGAGAGTGATTTATTTTCCAACCGGTGATGACCTGGAGGCAGTGGGAGCTGGATTTGCACAGCTAGCTGGGTCACCAGCTTTCAGTCGAGGAGTCGGTGCAATAGACGGCTGTCATATCCAAATTAAACCTCTAGCAAATAACTCCCAATGCTACTACAACAGAAAACTGTTTCATTCCATTCAACTCCAGGCCATCACTGATCACCAGGGGAAACTCCTTGATGTCTTTGTGGGATATCCGGGGTCTGTGCACGATTCTAGGGTGCTGAGGAACAGCTCTGTATATGCCGGCAGCCTATATCCACCTGCAGGAAAATGCATCCTCGGGGCTGCTGTGGGCTCTCCATCCTCAGTGCTCACAGCGGTTGCTGGACATTTGAGATCCTACAAAAATGCACAAACAAAACAAAAGCAGTAATTTTAACAGCACAATGTCAACTGATTTCTGTATTAGAAATAACAACATGATCTTACTTTATATATATATATATATATATTTTTTTTTTTTAACAAAGGCCGCCGTCACCCTGTCTTGCAGGCCCTGCTCCATCACAAAAGCTCTGCACACAAATCAAGAATCAGAAAAGTGCTGTAATATCTGTTTGAAATAACATTAATTAACAGCATATGACATCAGTTTTCATTGGTTTCTGTAGTATACTCACTCAAAGCCTTTGATGGCTGCATTTCGTTTTCCGGTGAAGAGGGCCTCATTAGCCACTCTCCACCGGATAAGCACATGTGTGTGCTCATCTGTCCCTGTAACATTCAAACAAGATTGTTACAAGTTACTTCTGTGATTTATGTTTTCAGCAATACACACAGGAAAAAAGTTATTCAGTGTCTCTTTGGGTTGGTTCAGGTGCTATATAGCACTAAAATGGTCCCCCTATGATTACGAGCCAGCAAACCACTTTTAGTGCTCTTTAGCACCCTTTATTTTTAGGGTGTACAATAAAATGTTGGGCAGTTGCTGATGTGTTTTATCCAACAACATTTGCTACTCAATTTATCAACAGTACTAACACAAATACATTTGATAGCTTATTGATAACTTTAATTTTCCTGTGAAGAGGGCCTCATTAGCCACTCTCCACCGGATAAGCACATGTGTGTGCTCATCTGTCCCTGTAACATTCAAACAAGATTGTTACAAGTTACTTCTGTGATTTATGTTTTCAGCACTACACACAGGAAAAAAGTTCTTCAGTGGTTCTTTGGGTTGGTTCAGGTGCTATATAGCACTAAAATGGTCCCCCTATGATTACGAGCCAGCAAACCACTTTTAGTGCTCTTTAGCACCCTTTATTTTAGAGTGTACATATAAATGTTGAGGCAGTTGCTGATGTGTTTTATCCAACAACATTTGCTACTCAATTTATCAACAGTACTAACACAAATACATTTGATAGCTTATTGATAACTTTAATTTCTTGAAAAATTAAAAATAGTATGGTTTTATTTACATTACATAATTATTTACATTAGCAGTGTTGACAACTGTGAATTCTACTGCATAGACATCAGTGATGTGTGTGTGCATTAGCTATTTCATGTTGTGATGTTCTCTTCTGCAATACTTGTCGAAGATGTTTCTGTCAGATATTACATAAACATTTAGTAAACGTCTTTAACTATATATATAATTAAGAACATATAAAATGCTAAAGTCACAAGCCATCTGAATTAAGTTTCCTAGTTAAAAACTGCACATTAACGTGCTTGCAATCACGACTTTAGAAGTGGGAATAATGACATTTACGATAGCGCGTGAATGCAGCAATCCACTTTGTAGACACGTGTGCTTACTGGAGCTCAGCAGTGGCTATAAATAAACACGTTTTTACAACAAAATCACAAATACACTATAATATCTGTGCAAACACCTTCAACAATTCAACAGTTTACAGTAGTTCTAAAAATGCAATTTTAACACAAGAAACCATGTTTTTGTTTTTTAATACTCACATTTGAAAACATCCTCGTTCTTCTCCATGTTTGATTATGACGTATCCTCCTCCTCTTCTTCTTCTTCTTAAGGATTTGTGGCTGTTTGTGGCAGACTAGATGCATCCTCTCTTCTTCTTGGTTAATATATCCTTTCCCATGGCATTGTGGGATAGAAAAGTATCCCGCTATCAGCACTTCGGAGTCTGGACGGGACGCAGTAGGCCATCCGGGGATCTCTCACCTACTCTTCTATGAATACTGTGGTTTCGGACATACTACTCTTCTCACGTACCCATTTTACCTATTATATAGTAGGTAAGTAGGCATATTTGAATGATACTTAAGTATACGTACACCCGAATCTCGCAAGAAATAGTGCTCCATCCAGGTAAATCTCGCCTACTCTTTTGTGGATATTGAGATTTCATGCATACTTTTCCTTCGCCTACTGCTTTTTGCCTACTAAATAGTATGGAAGTATGCGGTTTCGAATGCAGCCAGAGTGCTGTGTCCTGGTTGGGAAATGTGTCATTTCAAGCCCAGTCTAAAGGAGTTTTTTTGTTGTTGTTGTTTTCTATTTCTATGTGCACATTGCTGATGTTTTTTGCAGAGATGGTACATGTATGGCCTATGTTTGGATTGATGCTAAGAGTTTATATGTATTTGTATGCATTTTAGAAGAACTCTTTATTGGTGAGGTTACCACATCATGGTCCTGTTTGAATATGGATTTAACGTTCTTTTCGACATAAGACCATAGTCTGGACTATTTTTTGATTGTTCTTGGTTAGGAAGAGTCTGGTGTTTGAGAGCCATGGCATGTTTTTATTACAAGAGGTTGGATTATTAATTTGCTATCAGCCAACTTCAGCTATGGACAGTGTTTGGACATTGATGTACTACAGATGAGACTTTCGCACACATCAACTGTCACATGACGAAATCCTACAATTTTACATTACTTTGTTTGCTTGCTTTTTTGTACTTTTGTGTATTTACACTTTTGGCTATATGTTGCTGTATCAACCTGAATTCAATGTTTTCTATTTTGTATTTAATAAATCCATTGATCTGAAATCCCTTTGACTACTGTACATTTTTGACAATATAGACATTAGTTGTGTGGTGACTGCATCCATTTCAGATGTATAATAACTGATTTTCCCAAAGACTTAAATTATAGTAGCTGAAAAATATTTAAAGTGAAACAGATGTATTGTTATAGATCAAGGGTGCATCCTGTTCCTGGAGATCTACCTTTCTACAGAGTTCAGTTCCAATCCTGATCAAACAAACCTGTCTGTAATTAGCAAGTGCTCCTTCAGATCCTAATTAGTTGGTTTAGATGTGTTTGATCAGGACCAGGGTTCTTCTTCTTATTGCTTCTTCTTGCTTTACGGCGTATCGCAGACTTATAAGTGCATTACCGCCACCTATCTCTCAAATGGGGTTGGGCACCCCTGTTGTAGATTAATAGTGTGGGCCAAGTGAGGGCTGCCCGTGCAGGGCCAGCACTAAGGGGCCAATATTTTGCCAATGAGCAAAATCTCAGAGGCCCTGCACTGGCAGCCCGCTGGGGGCCCTTAGGCTAGCCTTAAGTGGGCCCATAAAGGGCCAGTGCAGGCTTGTTTGCAGGGAATGCAAGGAGAAGACTATAATTCCGACTCACTACAGTTGTTGATGGATTCGTGAAAAAACGGAACAAGAGAGAAAAGAAATGAGACAGAGAGAAAAAGAGAAGCGGTAGGAAAGGCGAATGGAGATTTGATTGACAAGCTAATAGGCTAACGGAATGCTAACGCGCAGAGCTCACAGTTCAGATTAAAAGATTAAAGGCGGATGATGTCAAATTTGTTTGGTGATTAAATCAGAAATATGGTGAGAATAAAATTATACTTTAGTGATTTAAACAACAGAGAGTGATAAGAGAGATTTCAACAGATAAACAAAGCTAAACGGAGCTACAAATGCACTCAGCAGCACAGCAGACATGAACAGGAAGCGATCTCCCTAAAAAGTCTCCAAAAAATAAAGAAAAATAGCGTGTATAGCGTCAGTTCTGGCAGGTAATGTTAGTCAAGCTTGCAGCAGTTGATCTATGGCGGTTTCTCAATATGCATTCTTGTCTGTATTTGTGTTCTTGATAAAGTGTAAAATATTAATTAATTTATTTTATTTATTTAGTCATTTAGCAGACGCTTTTATACAAAGCTACTTACAAATGAAGACAACAGAAGCAATCAATTGTAGTATTAAAACAACTATAAACATCCAAAACTAAAAGCTAAAACTTTATAAATACTACTTATACACATTTTAAAAATAAAGAAATTAAATAAAAATGTAAGGTCTTCCCTGAAAGAGACAACGTCTGGATGGGAGCATATGTTTTGTTCTAGAACTTGGATATACCTTTCAGCATTGATGGTGCCTTTCCAGATGTGTAAGCTGCCCATGCCACACGCACTCATGCAACCCCATACCATCAGAGATGCAAGCTTCTGAACTGAGCGCTGATGACAACTTGGGTTGTCCTTGTCCTCTTTAGTCCGGATGACATGGCGTCCCAGTTTTCCAAAAAGAACTTCAAATTTTGATTCGTCTGACCACAGAACAGTTTTCCACTTTGCCACAGTCCATTTTAAATGAGCCTTGGCCCAGAGAAAACGCCTGCGCTTCTGGATCATGTTTAGATATGGCTTCTTTTTTGACCTATAGAGTTTTAGCCGGCAACGGCGAATGGCACGATGGATTGTATTCACCGACAATGTTTTCTGGAAGTATTCCTGAGCCCATGTTGTGATTTCCATTACAGTAGCATTCCTGTATGTGATGCAGTGCCGTCTAAGGGCCCGAAGATCACGGGTATATATATATATATAATTTCATTTCCATTTATTTTGTTGAAGTATTAAAATATCTCAAATTAAATAAAACTAAAACATAATAAAAAGACCTAAACAGATATAATAAATTCAGACATAATTTAACTAAAATTAAAATAAATAACAAATACAAATAATACAAATCAAGCGACAGTAGTTTATCAGTAATCCTAAAAAATAACACTGCCAAACTTACATGCTAAAAAACAACAACTTACTGACACATAGTAAGAAATGGTTATAAAAACTAAAACAGAAGTGAAACAAGTAATAGGAAAGAGGAGAAAAAAAAAGTGATACTTATCCTTTGCCGGTGTCCTGCCCGGTGGAGTTGCACGGTAGAGTCGATGGTCTTTACACTCTTCGGTCTTCACACGAGGAGGCCGTCATGCGACGGCTGCTACGATAAACTAAGCTTTTTTATACCCGTCTAACAAAATACTAAATTAATTCAGCTGGACACACTTTCCTTATTTTTTTCCACAACAAATGGCCAAGCAAGCGCAGACACTGACAAGATACGCGATACAGAACGAGACCAAACGCGATATCAGCACGTCTCCACACAGTAAACAAAACAAGCATTTCCTAGCAACGACAACTGCACTAAACACTAATGAGACAAGTAAATACACTTACAAGCTGCTTTTAACTTCCGCTGATAAAGACTGCTTCTCTCAAAGAGTATTTCTTTAAACAGTTTTCTGTTGGCGCTTGAACACACTTTCCTTATTTTTCCCACAACAAATGGCCAAGCAAGCGCAGACACTGACAAGATACGCGATACAGAACGAGACCAAATGCGATATAAGCACGTCTCCACACAGTAAAACTTGTATTAATTCATAAATCAGTTTTAATCAAGTTGGTTCAGAATCTTTGGATTCGATTACCATTAAACCATTTCAACTTGACCTAATTCCTTACACTACTTTGTTTTGTGAATGTTGTTTTGGGGTACTATTCTGTTGC